TTACTGAAAATAGTTATATTTTTCAAACAATTTTTGATTCACAGCATGACATTTTGCCATTATTATGAAACTTTTCGGAATAATAGTTGGGTGATAAAAAAAAATTGTATTGTGGAATATGATAATCGGCATGTTCTATTATTTATTTTTTCATTTTACAAAACCCTTAAAGGTGAATGCAAGAATAATTTATAAATGTACCATGATTGTTCTATTTGATATGTGGAATGTGATTCTACTCTTGTTGTGAACAATTTAAATAATATATTGTTGAGGACCAGTCATTAATCAAAATCAGAAATTTTGACTAGTGCTTTTGGTGCTTTCTAAAAATAAAGAATTTTAAAATGAAAATAATAGTATATTTTCAGCGATAAAGTTAATATGTTGTACTTATTCATCATTTTTTTTTTTTTTTTTACACATTAAGTCAGTTTTTTTTTTATGCACATTTCATTTTCACATTGTTGTGTTAGTGATATAGTTGCAATTAAAAGGACCACTCAGTTTAAGAATATGCCAATTGCACATACATACCAAATGCTCAATTTTGGACAATGTTCATATAAACACATGATGTACTTGTATAGTTTCATTTAATTAATGAACCATTTTGTTTACATTGCAGCTTTTAGTCATTGTATTTTATTATTTTGTATATTATATTTTCAGCACAATTTTTAATTTTATGTTTCCTGTTTTGGTAGGCATTTTTTTTTAATGAAAAATTATGTATATATAGATATACATACTTGTTACTGTCATTATATTTTGTAGTAAAATATTACAAAAAAATAAAAGTACTGTATTCATATATATTTTTATATCATAAAATTAATAATGAATACAAAATTTACTATTGTCATGTACAGTTCGTTACATAGAAATAGTGAGATCCACATAGATACATAATATCTTCTTCCATTATCTTAAATGTGATTTAATTAATATGTGAATGACTATATTTGCAAAAAACAAAATTAAAAGTATTTGTTTATCTTACATTATAGTTGTGTTATTTTGTTATGTGACCACTTGTAAATATTTTAAAATGATGTTTTCAAAAGAATTGGTGCTTATTTTTGTGTTGATAAATCGATTCTTAAATAAACAGAAAATAAGCTTTTTAATTTTTGCAAGTCTTCTTTTATTTGTTATTGTTATTTGGGAGTTCTCTAGCTGTTCATGAATTAACGAAAATTTTAAAATCATTGAGGAAATTCTTAACAGATTATCCTAGAAAAATTATTTGCATTGTAGCAAATATTAATGTTGCTTTATATATTTTTTATTCTTGGATATTTAACATTTGAAACAAAGTATTTTTAACTAGCTCACTTTAAGTATTAAAGTACAAAAATAAATAAAAGTTATTTAAAGTGTTCCATATAATTCAAGGTCATACATTCCTAATATAAGATAATAGTTAATTTCATTAACATTTTTATTAATCAATTTAAATTTTATTGAAATATTACAACAAAAATCTCTTTGAGCAGTCAAGACAAATTAAATGTTAGTATTACATTTTTAAACATATTTTTTTCCTTTGCCATCTTAAAACTCATTCTGTTTTGCAGACTGTGTAATTGAAGCAAATTTAGTTTAATTTTACTCATAGTAATCACAGATGCTAGCAGAGGTGGAGTTTCATAGTCGAGCATTTCTTAAAGAGCTTAAAAATGATATTTATTTTCAAAATTTGAGGAATTAATGTTAAAATTAAATGTGAAGGTGGCAATTGAGCAGCATTCTTCAGTAATATAGCCAGTAGCACAGACAAGTTCTGCTTTTACCAAAAAATACCAAAGTATTGAAAGACTTTCAGCTTTGAAGCCTTTAAAAATGCTACTTTGGATTAGTATTGAAACAAGATCTTATAGAAGCTATTTTATTATTAAAATTAAGAAAAGATTTAAGGGCAAAAATAAGATTTTCTATTAAAAAATATTTCATTTGCTATAGTTTTAAGCTGTTCTGTATTTTTTTTTGAATTTGATAGGTTATTTTTTATAAACAAATTTAAAATAAAAAATATCTTTTAGGTGAGTGCAAATACAGTATCTTTGAAGTTCAAAAATATTTTGTTATGAAAAAGTTGCTTAAATATTTATAAAAGTCATTGAATTTATTTTGCAAATTCTTTTAAATTCATTTTCTGAAAAAGAGTTGGGACTTGGAAATGTTTGGCTGGCTGTCCACCTCTGGATACGAGAATAAAATTTAGCTTTTAAGGAAACAAAAATTTTTAACTAAATTATGAAAACTGTGTATTTTTTTTTTCTTCTTTAAATCAACTTTTTCAGAATTTGATCATGCTTATAGTATTTGTTATTTAGAATTACTTCCAGATGATACAGTTAATGTTAAATTTATTAATGACATTACAGCTAATCTAGCAAATGTATTGTTTAGGAGTGCATTTGATTTATACAGACAATTTCATTTATGTCCCCCCATCCCCCAAAAAAAAAAAAAGGTTTTTATTTTTAAAATTTAATTTTAATTTGCTTATTAATTCTCTATTAAATTAGTGTAAATTTCTTAGAAACAATTTGAATTATTGTATATATATATAAAAACATTTAAATGAGATATTTAGGATCCTGCATTCAAACTTATGGTTTTAAGGAAGGAAAAAAAATGAATTTTTAACATTAGAAAAGGACTTATTAAAATTTGTTTTGGGAAGAATTGAAAAAAAAAATTGCTCTTAATGCCAAATACTGAAAAGTCAAAAAATGATGGCAATTAAATTTTTTTTTAACCAACATACATGATGTTAAATGATACTTTTTGAAAGATAAAAAAAATATATTCTTATGAAATGTTAACAATTTTTGTCTAATAAAGATGTAAAAACTTTTATAATTATGCTAATTCGACTTCACCGGAAGGTAGTTTTATCTTTCCACATCGATTTTTATGAAGAATTTTGGGATAACAGATTGTTTCTAAGTCTATATAATTTTTAATAATACAAAATGTTAAAGAGGGATTAATCTATGATTTTTTCATGTATTTTCTCCTGTAAATTATTGGTCCGATTGATTGTAAGCTATCGATTTTCGCGTATCATGCTGGTTATTGGTCCTTAGTTGCCGAGTGATTAGAGCTCGGTGCCATAGGTTTTGGGTTCGAGTCTGGGCGGTACCATGGATGTTTATAGTGGTTCGAAATCCACTTTAAATAGTGCGTCGCGTCTAATATGATTGTTGAACGTGGGGCTGACAAACTGTACCCCGTAAAAAGACATCTCCTGCCTCGAAATCTGACAAGCATCTGAAATCTCGTAAACAGACGGCCGTGGCCTATCATGGGACTGTAAGTGCCACTGATGATTTTTTTTTTTTTCGATGCATATCAGAGACATACTCGACAATACAGAGACAATTACCTTTATGCCATAAGCAAGGGCTGCACCATTTTACTCATTCAGCACTACCCAGGGGGCAAGTGTAGCTTGAAGAAAGGTGTTACGGACGCGAGTAACACTACCCCCACAACGCTCTGCGATATTATTATGGTTTAAAGCGTAAAGGTTATTATGGTTTAAAGCGTATTCCGGACCACTACAAATACCAATGGCATCACCGGGACTCGAACCCGAAACCTGTGGTACCGAGCGCCAGAACTTATGATGATGGGTGATTTGATTTTACGGAGAAATGAAGTTGGGGGATAATGTGTTATTTCTAAATGGTCTCGGTTTTTAAATGTAAACTATAAAGTTCTTGTTTTATGATTTTTTAATGTGTTTTCTCATTCAATAAATTATTGATTCAATCGATCGGGAGAAATCGATTTTCTATGTATCTGATTGATTTTTATGGACAATTTTGGATAATGGTATATTTATAGAATTATTTCGTCATTTAAAAGCAAAATTCACATCTAAAACTACACACTTTTCACTTCTATAATGGTTCTTGTTCGCGACCCTTTAAAGTAAAAAACAATTATCATTGATATAACTAAATTAAGACTTCTGAAGATTTCCTTAAGATGACCACCCGCCCAAAGCACTGTTATCTACTTTATAAATATTGACGGAAAATGAAATTCCAATACCAAGAAGGTATTGGAATTATGTTAGATAAACGAAATTTGGGAAGCCTGTTTGCACATGTGAAAGATGACATCTATTCGAATTTCGCTCTAGACGAATAAGAGAAGATCTAGTAATGCCTCTGTGGACATGAAAACCGTGTTTGCTTTAAATGCTCGATGTGAACTTCGCGAGCGTTATTTATCTTCTGGATTGGACATTGTGGTTTGATTTGTCGCTCTACGGTTCATCTTGTGCACACGAGGGTTAAATAGACAGGGACTACAGTTTAAAGTGGATTCCGAACCGCTAACAAACATCCATGCCACCGCCAAGATTCGAACCTGAAGCCTGTGGTACCAAAGGCCAGAGCGCTAGCCAATTGGATATCAGGCCTCTTGGACATTATAAGCTGGATTGAGTAAAGGAGGCAGTAGGAGCTGAGAAAGAAGACACTAAGAGAATAAAGTATAAAGAAGGCTGTATCAGCAGCTTATTGAGTTTGTACTAGAAGGTGGATTTTCTTTCCGTCATATTACAGAAATGGAACCTGATGGCCGAGTGACTAGCGCTCGGTGTGACAGGTTTCGGGCTCGAGTTCCGGCGACACCATAGATGTTTGTTGTGAATCGGCATCCATTTTAAACCGTAGATCCCGGTCTAACATGACTATTACTACTACACTAGGCAACTTAGCTCAGTGGTGACTAGAGCTAAGTTGCCCCTATATAGTTTGAGAATGATGGGGGTGAGAAGTCTGACTAGGCTCTGTGACGCTCTACAGTCATATGAGACCGGGACCTACGGCTTAAAAAGTGGATTCGGAACCACTACAAACATCCATGGCACCATGGCACCGAACCTGAAATCTGTAGTGCAAGAGTGATAGACACTCGATCATTCAGGCTCCAATAGATGTCAGAAGTGGGGTTCGAATAAATTTTGAAAGCCAACGGCATGCGATGTTCCCAGAACCAGGTCACCCTAACCAAGTACTGACAGCGCCCGATGATGCTTGACTTCGATAATCGAATGAAAACCGGTATATTCATCATGGCATGGGCGTTGCAAGGTCAAATATGACTGCAAAACGTTGGGAGTAGGGCTGACATCCCTATCACATAAAAAGAAACATCTCTTTCGATATTTAGCAGATGGCCTTGGTCCACCATTAGGTTGTTGTGAAGACTGGAGGATATTGCAGAAATACTTGCCAAGGATGTATCATTTGGCAGCAGTGGTGACGGGGAGGTACTATCTCAAGAAGACCGATGTCCAGCTGCACTCAGATAATTTTGGGTTTCATGGTTCTTGCTAACTTTTTCATGCGTTTCAATTAAATTTCAGGGTGATTTACAAGATACTTTCATGCACATTTATGTTTTTTATACTTGTATTATTGAAAGGAAGGAAATAAAACTGAACTTCGAGCTGCACTCGTGGCAGTCAAATGAATACGAAGATTGCATTTATGTACCCAGAATAATAAACAAAAACAAAACTGTCATCATAAAAAAGGTTTAATTACTTTTCGAAATATTTTTCGTGATGTTCAATACACTTTTGCGTTTGAACCAATGTTCCTAGCACTTTTTCAATTCCGATTAAGGTATCTCTAAAACATGCATTTAAACACATTAACCGCTTCTTCCGGCATCGAAAACTCATTGATCACGTAGTTTGTTTTTCATGTACGAGAACGGAAAGAAATCGTTGGATGCTAGTTCAGGGCTACACTACGGATGATCCACCAATTTGATGGTGAGTCAATCCGTGTGTTGAGTAAGCCGATCGACGCCTTGGTGTGAACCCAAAGGCGCTTAAGTTAAGTTCACCTATCAAATATTGAGCTGTTTAGGCTGATGTGCAAGAGCAATGATGAATAATCCTGAGTTACCGGTTGTTTTTCATATTTCTCCAAAGACCTTTGGCAAACAAATTCTTGTGTGCCATTAAGAATGGACCGTTCTAGTATGATTCTGGGACCTGAATGGCCGAGTGGTTAGCGCTCTGGCGCTCGGTACCATAAGTTTCGGGTTCGAGTCCCTGGCGGTGCCATGGATGTTTGTAGTGGTTCGGAATCCACTTTAAACCGTAGGTCCCGGTCTAATAGAATCGTAGAGCGCTGCGGGGGCATTGTTACTCCGCGTCCGTGGCTTATCTTCAAGCTGCACCCCCCTCCCCTGGGTAATGCAAAGTGAGTAATGTCTGTGCAGCGCTTGCCTTAAGGCATCCAAGGCCAAGCTGTCTTAAGTGTTTGCCAGCTGCATTACTGAAAAAAATGTATGATTCCTTAGTGGTACTGTAGCCACATGTCCATTTAACCAAAACACAGGCGACCATTTGTTTTGAAGTGCTTCTTGCTCTAACAATTTGACTCACCTTGGAAGATGCATACAGTTCAATTGCTTTTTATTTTCTGACACATACGCATCGATCCAAGTTCCGTCGCCTGTGTAAATGTTGTATTACATATCTTTTGATGCATCACGATTGTATTTTTGAATAATTTCTTTTTGCACCAATATAGACGAGGTTTTTGTGTAATTATCAAAGTATGCGGAATCCTACGTGAACAAATATTTTTGGCATCTAAATTTTCATGTAAAATCTTTTGTATGATCGTCATACTTATGACTAAAAACGCCTGAATCTTAAAATACGTCCCATGACAAACCTTCATTATCTTTCGTGCACAAGATTAATATTTTTTGGCACAACAATACTTTTTTTAAATTCATTTGAGAGCTAACGACGGTCACGATTAAAGATTATTTAATTAGCCAGTGATGTACAATGGTTTTAAATGGTGCTTCGTCGCTAAAAATTGAAATGAGTTGATAAATGCACTGTTGTTCACGTCGAAAGACCTAGTAAATCATCACACTAAAATCACATTCTCGAGTTAATTCCATTTTTTGATTGACATAAAATTTTCAAAATTGCTGTAAACAACAAAAATGGCATAACGTATGACCAAACTTTCTGAACAGGTAAAGAACAAAAATGTCAAACTTGACGACGGATATGTCAGATACTAGACACAACTATAGGCTAGACTATATTGCCACACAATACTAGAGTAGCCAATTCCGGACACATAAATAGCAACCCTCGTAATCATTAGTGTGCGAAAACAGGCATGTTCTATCCCACGACTGCTATACTAAAAAAAAAAAAAAATTCTTAAACTTCGAAATAGAACAGGGCCTGATGGCAGAGTGGCTAGCTCTTGGTACCACAGGTTTCGGGTTCAAGTCCCGGCTTTGCCATGGATGGACGTTTGTAAGGCTTCGGAATCCACTTTAAAGCGTAGGTCCCAGTTTAATATGATCGTAGAGCATTGTGGGAGTAGTGCTACTGGCGTCCGTAGCATATCTTCACGTTACACGTGCCCCTGGGTAGTGCTAAATGAGTAACAGCGGTGCAGCCCTTTACTTATGGCATAAAGAGTCTCTGTATCGGCTATATTACAAAAATAGAACAGGTGCATTTATTTAGTCGCCTGAACTACATCACAAATGTGAGAATCAACATTAAAAATAATTGTTTGAGTGTTTGCCAGTTGCATTAGAACAACAACAACATTAAAAACAATGTTTCATTTTTGTTATTAAACAGTTTCTTCATGAAAAAAAATAAAAATAAAATAAACACCATTGAGCTAGTACTTATTTGTCAAAGAGGCCCTAAAAAACTGGTTTTTTACAAAAACTCAACTGTGTTGAGGAAGCTTCCCAAAATGGTTAGGTAGATACAGAAACTCGATAAGTTTTGAAAAATAAATTATTTAATCAAATTAATTTAGGATTTTATATGAGATAATACAGTGCCTTGGCTATTAATACTTCTTCTTTTTTGGCGCAACAGTCCCATGGTGGGCCAAGGCAGACTGCTTACTGGCAGATATTGAGATTGAGATTTTAAATAATAGTCAGAGAGTCATAATGAGAAGAGATTGAGATTTTAAATTTAAAACATAATTAATAAATTTAAAAAATTAATAGTCAAAAATAAAATTACATTAAAGCAATTAAAAATAATGTCCTTAAAAAAAAAAAAAAAAAAAAAAAAAATTATTTATTTAACAAAAATTATAAAAAATTTCAAAAGTGTAGATATTGATGAAATCAGTTGCATGTATGCATGTAATCAAAAAAATAAAACAGAATGAGGAGTCAAATTAGGAGAAAAGCGAACTTTTTTTTTCATCTAGACAGTTGTAGGGAATACTATAAATCAGTCCAGAAAGGAAAAAATCGTCAGGATAAGGAATTAATTTAAAATATTTTGAACAGTGCGAGGTCTTTTCTATGTTTGCGAAAGGAAGAAATATCTATCTAGAATAGAGCCCTTTGGCACACCAGCCTGAATATCACGAATTGAAGAATCAGTATTCCCTACTGCGACAACAAAGTGGCTGCCCGAAAGATAGTTACGAATTACTTGAATTAAATAAGGAAACAAATTGTAAGAAATGAGTTTGTAAATCAATCCATTAAAATAGACTTTATCAAAATGCCTTGGTCACATCAAGAAAATTTGCAGCAGTATCATATTTCTAGGTAAATTCTTCAGCAACAGTTTCTGTGGAAGAGCTGATGAGTTGTAGAAAGTTTTTCGGTAAATCAAATTGCTGTGGGATGAGAAGGTTCTTTTGATTTGACTCACTTTTAAAGGAGATTCAGGATAACATTTTCAATTAGTTTACTAATCTAGAGTTTTATGCTTTGTTAAGGCTTTTGTGAACTTTTGCACATTTAAAATTTTTTTTAAATAAAATAATTTTTACGTATTTGAAATTACGAACTTAAAAAAATCTACTATATATTTTAATAAATATTAAAATTGTATAAAAATTAAATCTTTCAAATATATAAACATTCAACATTAACAAATGATGTTTAAATTTTTAATTTAAAACATCATTAATAAATTTTAAAATTAATAGTTAAAAATTGAATTTAAAAATAAAATTACATTAAAACAATTTTAAAAAATATTAAATTCAAAAAAATTCTGGATTATTTAGAAATAAAATTTTAGATTATTAGGATACACTATAAACATTACAAAATCTTTCTAGTTGAAAATTTTTTCGAACTTTTCTCAAATCTGCCGACCAGTACGCCCTCTATCGAATAAGATTCCTCAAACAATTCTTCTAAGTTGTATTTTATTTAACTTTTTTTCACTACTAAAGAAACTGGAACGTTTTCGGTTCTCGTAAAAAAAAAAAAATACTGATAAATAATATAATAAATAAATAATTAAAAATAAAAAATAAACAAAATAGAATAATCTGCTAAATGAAATGTTTCCAAAGTTAAAGAACTATAGTTTTCTTAGCAGGGTTTTTTTATCGTCATGCCTTTGAGCCATTTTTCGCACATTTTTTAAATTTTTAAAATAAAATTATTTACACATTTTATAATTATGGACATAAAAGAACAAAATCTAATATATATTTTAATAAATATTAAAATTATTGTATAAAAGACTAAATCTACAAATCTATAAACATTCCAAACTTAACAAATTTTTAATTTAGAACATAATTGATAAATTCTAAAAATTAATAGTCTAAAATTGAGTTTTAAAATAAAATATTAAAAAGAATTAAAAAAATATTAAATTCTCAAAAATTCTATATTATTTAGAATTAAAATTTTAGATTATTGGATCAAATAGAACATTAAATTTTTCTAGTTGAAAACTTTTCAAATATCTGCAGACCTACACTTTATCAAACAAGATTCCTCAAATAATTCTTAAGTTTTATTTTATTTAACTTTTTTTCACTACTGAAGAAACTGGAGCTTTATCAGTTCTCGTAAAAAATAATGAAATAAATAAACAAAATAAATAAATAAAAATAAAAGATAGGATAATCTGCTAAATGATATGTTTCGAAAGTTAAACGCCATTTTTTGTTTTCTTAGCAGGTTTCTTTTTATCGTTATGGCGTTTGTGAATCTTTTGCACATTGTTTAATTTTTAAAAAAATTTTTTTTACATATTTTATAATTATGAACATACTATAAAAAAAAAATCCACTATATATTT